AAAAAAAAAAAAAAAAAAAAAAAAAAAAAAAAAAAAAAAAAATGTAGTCGATTTGATAATGATCAAGTGACATTATTTCTTTGGCCCGAACCAAATAATAACTTTAGTTAAATCATTTGTACTAAGATTAACTATATGCATTTAGGCCTAAGACAGAATGATATTTTCAAACTTCACCATTTCATCTCTCTGACTCCAAGAACTTGACCGTTAAGAACATTGAACGTTCTACAATAGCTGCGGGCGTGCTTGGACAATATAAATGTCATCCCCGACGACGCAGCCTTCGACATCCTGTGGGCAGGAAAACTTGCATTCCAAGAAATACCCAACAGAGCAAAGACGTCGACCTAGCTGCGCACGAAATTTCGGGTCGATAGACAATGACTTTTTGCTGTAATCTACAGTAAAACGTGCCATTTGACCATCAGCAGGACCAGCAGCAAGAACTCTTAGTTCTTCACTGAAGTTTGCAAAGGCCAGTGTTTGTACTAAACCATCAAACTTCCCAGATGAAAGTCGCCAGGGCGTGCCACGGGTGCCAGACGCTAGAGTTTCGCCAAGTCCACAGGCAATTTCAGCCTCAACATACTTGCCATTTTGGTTGGTTGGGCTGTATGTGTGCAGAACAAATGATAATTCAGGAGAAAGCATTTCTTGTACCAGTACTGCCATTAAAGCATCCTTCTGAGGTACTCCAGCAGCTCGTCTGCTTAGAACTGCTCTTCGAGTGTACAACGACGCCCATACTTTGCTAACAGCGTTGCTAAAAACAATTGGATCTCTCAAACTTACATTTGGAATTGACTCGTAAAGTCCAGCAGCTGACATGCCAGCCAAATCCTCGACATTCGCACTCGAACGGACGATTAAGCGTGCATCTTCAGGAAATATTTTCCCTAAACTATCAATTATGTCTTGCGTCAATTGCAGAGAAGACACCAAGTCATGGAGTTGTTTGCAAAGTTCATCTAGTTCCACTCCTACTTTTGCTGTTTCGATTTGTTCCAAAATAGATTTGAACTTTTCCATGGAATTAGTTTGAGTGAGTGCTAATTCCATAGAACCAAATGGAATCACTGCACCTGCAGGAACTCGAAAAGCAGCTGGAATCTGTAGACTTGTAAAACCTGCTAACCAACGTCTGGTTATGTGTAATATAATAAAGTGCTGGAATTGAAAAAATTATAATAATTAACGGCCTAAGTTCACCGCTAGCAGATATTGTCCCCTTTGAGTTTTCCCTTTTGGGCTTCCCCTCAAAGTTTTAAAATGTGTTTCCTAAGAAAAGGTTTCCATACCCTTATAAGGAATGCTTCATTCTCCTCTTCAACCGATATGAGATCTCACAATCCACTCCCTTGGGAGCTCAGCGTTCTCATTGACACACCGCTCAGTGTCTGGCTTTAATACTATTTGTAATAGCCCAAGCCCACAACTAGCAGATATCGTCTTTTTTGGGCTTTTCCTTTCGAGCTTTCCCTCAAGGTTTTACAATGGGTCTACTAAGGAGAGGTTTCCACACCTTTATAAGAAATGTTTCGTTCTCCTCTCCAACTAACGTGAGATCTCACAATCCACCCCTTGGAGGCCCAATGTCCTCACTGGCACACCGCCCTAGACAGCCTGGCTCTAATACCATTTGTAACAATTCAAGCCCACTGCTAACAGATATTGTCTTTTTTGGGCTTTTCCTTTCGAGCTTTCCCTCAAGGTTTTACAATGGGTCTACTAAGGAGAGGTTTCCACACCTTTATAAGAAATGTTTCGTTCTCCTCTCCAACTAACGTGAGATCTCACAATCCACCCCTTGGAGGCCCAATGTCCTCACTGGCACACCGCCCTAGACAGCCTGGCTCTAATACCATTTGTAATAACTCAAGCCTATTGCTAGTAGATATTGTCCTCTTTGGGCTTTCCCTTCTAGGCTTCCTCTCAAAGTTTTAAAACGTGTTTGCTAGGGAATGGTTAAGGAATGTTTCGTTCCTCCTTCGTTCTCCTCTCCAACTAACGTGAGATCTCACAATCCACCCCTTGGAGGCCCAATGTCCTCACTGTTCGTTCTCCTCTCCAACTAACGTGAGATCTCACAATCCACCCCTTGGAGGCCCAATGTCCTCACTGGCACACCGCCCTAGACAGCCTGGCTCTAATACACAATCCACCCCTTGGAGGCCCAATGTCCTCACTGGCACACCGCCCTAGACAGCCTGGCTCTAATACCATTTGTAATAACTCAAGCCTATTGCTAGTAGATATTGTCCTCTTTGGGCTTTCCCTTCTCGGCTTCCTCTCAAAGTTTTAAAACGTGTTTGCTAGGGAATGGTTAAGGAATGTTTCGTTCCTCCCTCCAACTATTGTGGGATCTCACAATGGGACAGGTGCGGATTTTTCCAAGAAATTCATATACTTTCATGGTGTAGTTAACAGAAATTTTCCTTATGTATGGCTCTGCTATGTTAGGACTTCATACCGGTTCACTGGAGGTGGAATATTACAACTCAAACCTAGTTTCTTCAAAGACAAATTTAAGGGAAAAAAATTAGATCCAAAATTTACCTTTATCAGAGATGGCAGCCAAAGAAGCCAAACGACCACAAACTGCAGCTTTTGCTCCTGCAATTCGAGCATCTGCATCAGCAAGCTGTACCACTCCAGAAGAAATTCCCTAGACAAAGTTCAACCATCACTAATTTAGAGAAAAATCGATATACTGGGAGAAGAAAAAAGGAAGACGTGTCCAACGTCCAAATGTCATCGAGGAACGATTTGACTACATTATACGACACCTGTGTCGGGTAGGGAGTTCCAGAGGCAGGTAATAAGGGGTCTTGCATACTGGACTTTTCAAAACTAAACACATACTCATCTGGAGCAGTTCTGGCAGGAAAATTATCAGTGCTTGTATCTGATGGCGGATATATATGAACAGAAGTTGCCGATGCTTCCATCCTACACATCTCAACAAAAAACATAACACTTCGTTAAGCATTCACCCTAAATCACCATGAATAAGAACATGAACCAAAAACCATACAACCTCACAAAATTCCCGAGAAGTTTCTGCAGAACAGAAATTCTTTCGTCGTCCTCACATGTAACAAATACAACTTTTTCCTACAAAGCCGACATGCATTGTCGTTGATACTGTACAACAGCGTTTGAAAAAGACACTGTTTTAGAGAGGCTGCACTTACTTGTCGAGCCCTTACACCAAGATGAGATAAATGAGGTAGTTCCTGTAGTAGCACAACTCCTGTTATGTTGCTCCCAGCAGCTGTTATCTGCAACATTTTATTTTATTTTCCTTCATGGAATATCATTCTAATACCATCAATATCATAAGAAAGAGGTGCAAAACGATATCGACTCCATAAATAGGGTAAGTGAAAGGGATATTTAGCTTTGAACCTCTTCATCGCCATCAGCTTTGTTAACCATAAGAATAACAGGCCCTTCTATGGATGTTGGAAGAGACCCTGGGACAATCCTCTCAACCTGAAGAAATACTCACAATTACATAATATTTGGGTTGCAGGCAAAGTTATGTGCAATTTCCAGCATAGACGTGTTTTAGCGTGTTAAAATGATAGATACATTGCAATGTTTGTGACGAGCCTCGCTCAACTTTTTTATGAGCTTCATTTCACTTCAAATACTTAATTCTTGTGAAACAAATAAACACGAGCACCTGAACAAATGTTCCTTCAACAGATCCTGGCACAAGAACATCCCAACCCTGCGATCCAAGTGCGGTTCTGATTGCTTTCAAAAGAATTGTGCATAGCTTCGATACCTGAAAAATTACGCTAGAGTTTCCGACAGACTTCAGCATCAACTCATGGTCGACGAACGGTAATAAAGAAGAATAGAACAAAATTACCCAAACCATTATACCTAGCACGAATTTCAGCTTCAGTATATGTTCTCATGCTGTTTTCAGGGATCCCAAACGCTTTTCCAAGCATCTGAAATGAACGCCAATTTACAGATTCTGCGTTACGTTATGCACAAGACAAGAAGAACCATATAATCCTCTACAGCAGTCTAAGACCAAGGTTGTATTTAAACGGATGATATTCCACAGAAACTATAGCTATTTATAAATTTACTTTTGCCCGCAAAACCACACGGAAATAGATTGGTCGAGTTAATGGTTCAGCAAATTACCATCTCATTAAGTAGTTCTTATCGTGTTTATGATAAACTGATGTATTCATACCTTAACTTTCTCAGGGAATATTTGAAGAAGCGCTTCAGAATATTCCTCAGTCAGCCTCCTTGTTCTATCAAGAGTAGCCTTAAGCCTCAATCCCCAAATAGTTGGGCCATCTTCACTTCCTTGATAAGAAAAATAACAAATTCATAAGGTGGTTAGCTGATCATATAAATCAAGTCAGTCATAGAAATGCAATTGATTTAGAGCTACTAAGCATGAACACCTTAATATGGGTAAAGAGTCCTACATAATATAAATAGGACACCCATATTTGTTAGAAGTGTGTTAGAACTTGGTTAAGCACAACAAATACATATCCAACATTTATTGAACAAATAAAACTTGTGCCAGACATTAGTTGGATATGCATTACTGTGATATCCCACATCAGTTGGGGTGGAGAACAAAACACCCTTTATAAGGGTGTTGAAACCTTTCCTTAGCAGACACGTTTTAAAAACCTTTAGGGTAAGCCCGAAAGTGAAAACCCAAAGAGGACAATATCTGCTAGCGGTCAACTTAGGCCGTTACAAATGGTATCAAAGCCAGACACCGGGCGATGTCCAAGCAGGTTGTTCCTCGAAGGGGGGTAGACACGAGGCGGTGTGCCAGCGAGGACGCTGGGCCCTGAATGAGAGTGGATTGTGATATCCCACATCAGTTGGGGAGGAGAATAAAACACCTTTTATAAGGGTGTGGAAACCTCTCCCTAACAAATGCGTTTTAAAAACCTTGAGGGTAAGCCCGAAAGGGAAAACTCAAAAAGGACAATATCTGCTAGCGGTAGACTTGGGTCGTTACAATTGCACATTTTCTAAGCACAGTAAGGACATCACAGACACATGTAGATATATGATCAACCGTTGTTGGAACACTTAAACTAAAGTGTTCAAAACCTTTTTTTTTTTTTGTACTTATTTGTTGAATATATATATATATATATATATATATATAT